CACACTCAACTTCTCTCGGCTCGGTTATGTTTATGTTAGTTTGGCACCAAACTCGATTGTACAACGCAAGGTGTTAGAGTGATGGCGACACAATATCCTACCAGGTCTTGTCAGTTCTACAAACAGCAGTCCGGTACTTATCGGTTTCAAAAAGTCTGGTACTCGTCTGTTCTGATAATAACCACTAATGAACTCTATGGCTGAACAATTATCTGAAGCACTGCTTGGAGAAACTTGTGACCTCATGTCCTGTATTTGTTCAGATCACAGTTCATGTCCGAGCTTGAGTACGAGCTGGTTCTTTCCCTGTACACAGTGTGTGAAATACAATTGCCAGACTGCCATCAGGACACACAGGATTTAGAAGCTGCAGGTCCTGACTAGACACATCATACCACCATGAAAAGATTGCAGCTTGTTGTGACAAACAAATTAACTTGTAAATTTATGGCAGGCCATAAGGATACGTACCAAGTGGAAACTATAGGCCGGCTACGGACAGGTGCTTGTTTTGATCACTGCCTGTACATGAGTTATAACCTTGCTTTAATGTTTGTCGGATGTGAACTAGACCATGACGATCATCCCAGTATTTCCACCCAATTATTAATGACAATAAGCAGCAGTCTTTTGTTCCCCTGCTGTGATATATGATATGATATTATTATTATCGAAACTCATTCAGGGTGTAGGTGTATGTGGTTATTTTTGCAGCACAAGCACTGGTTGACCGGCCATGTTGGTGAGGACAATTGTATTTTTACACGTTCAAAACAACATTTGCTGATAGGAACGTAATTTATGTGTCGAGATAACATTAATATTTCTTACACAAATGGATGTGTGTGTTGAGGGCATAAGGCTCTGATCTCCGGGCTAAGCGTACCATGGTTACACTTACTTGCTCACAGAATATATAAAAACTGAAATATTAGTCATGTACATGATGTATCATGATGTTGAATATAATGAGTATCGGTATGAGTTTTCATTGTTGATCATGCACTGTCAAACACTGTTGTGTCAAACTGTGATGTGTCAAACACTGTTGTGTCAAACTGTGATGTGTCAAACACTGTTGTGTCAAACTGTGATGTGTCAAACACTGTTGTGTCAAACTGTGATGTGTCAAACACTGTTGTGTCAAACTGTGATGTGTCAAACCTTGATGTGTCAAACACCGTTGTGTCAAACTTTCATGTGTCAAACACTGCTGTGTCAAACTTTCATTTGTCAAACTTTCATGCGTCAAACACTGTTGTCTCAAACTCTGTTGTGTCAAACTTTTATGTGTCAAACACTGTTGTGTCAAACTTTCATGTGTCAAACACTGCTGTGTCAAACTTTGATGTGTCAAACACTGTTGTCAAACTTTGATGTGTCAAACTCTGTTGTGTCAAACTTTCATGCGTCAAACACTGTTGTGTCAAACTTTGATGTGTCAAACTTCTGGCTGTCTTGAAGTAAAACCTTGGTCCCTACTTGTTTTATCATTTTCGGTTGTGTCGGATCTCGGATAACTTGAAGTATTCATGTAGGTCCCTTCAACTTCGACACAGCGTTGTTTAGCTGCATAGGAGAAGGGTGTGACAGATTGGAAATTTTAGTTAGAGGTGTGCAGCATACAATGATTTGAAGTACTAATGAATACTTATCACAATATGTATGGAAAATACCAGTACATTGTGTTTTTCAGAGGGCAGAGCTCCAGATAAGCTGCTTATCTGCGTAAAATATGCATCAGAAATGCAGAAATACGCAGTAAAATAAAATCCAAGCGTATCAAATATGCAATGAACATTACATATACGCTACAAAAATAAAACTTATCAAAAAGCATATCATCAAAATATTGTGAAGTAACCCTGCGTATTCGATAAGCAAATCAGCAACTTATTTTGAAATTATAAACGGGCATTCCGTCAACCTTGCCAAGCTCCACGATGACAGTTACATCATGATCATTTGCCATCACACTTTCTTGTGGAAGTATCGTGGTACTTTTGAGTCCTATAAAGCTCTTGAACCCACACAACACCAGTTTGCAGGGACTAGATGTATAGTGTTTTTAAATATTTAACTTAAATACCCACATGTGTAAAAACAAGTGGGTAACAGAAATTTGAATACCCAGATAGAATTACTAATACCCAATGATTTTAAAATGCATGGGTAAAATACCCACAACACCAAAAGCTTATCTGGAGCTCTGAATAGAATCCACATGTAAATGTCAATCAGTGTTAAAAGCTTTAGCTCACAATATATTGCAAACATGTATAGAAATACAGATACCAATATCCTGATATTGCAATATGATTCTTTTGCCACTAGGCATCCGTACCAATACATTGATACCGCGATACATGATGAAATCGACCCATGAAGATAGGTTAGAATAGGTCTTCAGCAACCCATGCTTGTCGTAAAAGGTGACTATGCTTGTTGTAAAAGGCGACTAACAGGATCGGGTGATCAGGCTGACTTGGTTGATGCATGTCCTCGGCCCCAATTGCATGGACTGATGCTCACGATATCAATCACTGGATTGTCTGGTCCAGACTCGGGTATTTACAGACCACCGTCATATAGCTGGAATATTGCTGAGTGCGGCGTTAAACAACATCCAACCAACTAACATGATGAAATCCCTGTATATGAGCATGATGAGTTTACTGATGTTATCTTCTCATGAGCTGGGTATATCTGATACGCCGTGATAGGGCAAGTCCAGAGTTAGGGCTGCCTAAATTATATATTCATATGAGTCTTCATACAGCCTTAGGAATGAGAAGGCTAGTCCTGAGGACTAGTTAAAACTTTATTTCACGAGTCCACAGAGTTTTAAGCTATTCTTACTTGAAAAAGACAAATTCTTTTCCCATGTTTGCATTTTCTGTCTGTTTTATTCATTTCCCATTTGGACCCGTGAAGATTCTGGGGTAGAATAGGTCTTCTGCAACCCATGCTTGCCGTAAAAGGCGACTAACGGGATCGGGTGGTCAGGCTCGCTGACTTGGTTGATGCATGTCATCGATCCCAATTGCATGGATCGATGCTCATGATATCAATCGCTGGATTATCTGGTCCAGACTCGATTATTTACAGACCGCCGTCATATAGCTGGAATATTGCTGAGTGCGGGGTTAAACAACAACAACATTTCCCATTTGTAGCAAAATTGAATAATTGAGAACTGGTTCAGAATAAAAGCCCTCAAATGCTTTTCGTAAATGAGGACTACCATCTTTGGATTTTTACTTGTCCTCGGCATATTTTAGTAGTCTTGGGCTAACAGACTACCGTGAATTTCGATGCAAAAAGTGATAGGGGGGTGTTTGTGAGAGTGAGAATGTTTTGGGCCATCATGATCTCCGCTCAACGTTCAAGGATGTGTTACGGCACAAAATGTGTCACCGCAACCTTTATATCGTTGTGAATTGGACCGTTGCGGACATTAGACTTACTGGCGTTGACATGGTAAGTGATAGCAGATAACAGTAATGGTGCTTTGGGAGCAACAGGCTCAAAGGGCATGATATAAACTCCACATTATAAAAAAAAAAAGCACCAATAAATATTTTACACTAACTCATTCCCTGACCTTTCCATGAACGTAACTGTTTGTGTTGCTACACACTCAAGGCCACTAACGAGGTCGTGGTCAAACTCGCTGATGCATGTCACCATATCCCAATTGCATGGTTCGACGCACATGGTATGTCTCCTTAAAATAAGGTTGCTTCTTATTTGTCATAAACAGTATATATAGATTTTGGAAATGTTTGCACTTTGTCCCATAATTGAATTAATTTTTTATGGTTAAATTAAAAAGTATTTAATTTCCTGTTTGGGACAAAAAGTAATCCAACCAATATAAGCTACCACTTCTCTTGTAGCAAGGTGTTTGTTCAGAAGACAAAGCAAAGCTGTAATTGGCAAACTCTGTTACGTGTTATTTGCTTTGCTGGTCTCCAAACTCATGAATGGGAGAGTCTGCCTTTGACGATCCATCTTCCCGGGGCAACTGAGTTAACTGGCTGTAAAAGTCCAGTTTCCACCCTTGCCAAACTAGGCTTGTATAATGGAGTTACTTTTTTGCTGAACTAACGACTATGCATAGTCCAAGCAAAATTGCTCAGCAAAATCGAAAACCGGTTAGTAAACTGTCAGGCAGATTTTGGTTGATTTCATGATTTGCAAAGCATGTGCACCACCAACTCGTTGTCAGCAGATGTTTTCCAAGTCTTTTCATGTTTTTGATCAAGGTGCTCACGTGATGTGATGCACTTCGCGATGTAAGACCCATTTTATCACAATATAGATTTTGATTATCGATCACATTGTCTTGACTGGGTGCCGCCATTTTGTTTCAAACAAATGCGAGTGATACGAGAGGTGGAATCTGATTGGTCCATAGAAGAGGCTTATAAGGAGGGACATAACTCATAATAACCAGTGGTGGCGCTACGATCAAGCCCAGAAATTCCAGCAAAAGTTATTGTCATAAGTATTTCAGGGGGGCACGGGTGGCTCAGTCGTCTAAGGCGCCGTGATTGGGCATACCAGAAACCTATGATTGTGGGTTTGTGGGTTTGAATCCTGGTTCGTTCTGATTATGTTTCTAGGTTTGTCAGCACCATACCCATGCTCGTGGGTTTTACCAAAGTGGTAAACGTCTAAGACCTGCATCACTTCGGGCTTTCCTCCCACATTAAGGTGACACACCTCGATATAACTGGAATACTATTAAAAGCGGCGTTAAACCCACTCACTCACCCACAAGTATTCCCTGTTGAGGTATATGAGATTTCTCTGGTGTAGAAACTGACCAACTGCTACATGTGGGATTTTTTTTTTTTTTTAAATATTCTTTGATTCTTGTACTATTATTGAGAAATGCGTTTGAAAGAATTATTGAACTTGAAATCCATGTCAACTCAGTCATCACCGACATTACAGTTTCTAACTGCCACTTCATGATACTAATTTGTTTTCAGGTATCTTCAGCAGGCGATTTCCTCAAATTTACCATTTTTCTCTGACGGCAATGACAAGAAAGTGAAGAAAATGGCCGAGCTACTATCAGTGCAAGTGCACATCCCTCAGCATCTGGGGAACTACTTGCAACCGGAAGTCAAGAAGTCTCCGTCTTTTCTCGAAAATGGGATGGCTGGGAAGACAAATCTCCGGGATTCCCGGAGCCAGTTCTCCAACTTCCAGAGACGACGACCAATTGACATTGAGTTCCGTGAGCTCATGTACACAGTTAAGGAGGGCAACAGGAGTAAAGGTACATAGAAACTATATTATTGTTTGTGCGTGTCCAGGGGTGCGTGTCCAGGGGTGAGTGTACAGGGGTGCGTGTCCAGAGGGGGGTGGACAGAGGTGCGTGTCCAGAGGGGGGTGTGCAGAGGTGGGTGTACAGAGGGGGGTGTCCAGAGGGGGGTGTGCAGAGGTGCGTGTCCAGAGGGGGGTGTGCAGAGGTGGGTGTACAGAGGGGGGTGTACAGAGGTGGGTGTACAGAGGTGCGTGTCCAGAGGTGGGTGTACAGAGGTGGGTGTACAGAGGTGGGTGTACAGAGGGGGGTGTACAGAGGGAGGTGTACAGAGGTGCGTGTCCAGAGGTGCACAGAGGTGCGTGTACAGAGGTGGGTGTCCAGAGGTGGGTGTACAGAGGGGGGTGTACAGAGGGGGGTGTACAGAGGTGCGTGTACAGAGGTGGGTGTACAGAGGGGGGTGTACAGAGGTGCGTGTACAGAGGGGGGTGTGCAGAGGGGGGGGGTGTCTAGAGGGGGAGGTGCGTGTGCAGAGGTGTGTCCCAGTGATTAGGGAAAGTCATGTGCCATGCACAATTTACCATCAATTTTAAGAAAGTGTGCATCAGAAAACAGTATTGGTCCTGGATGCGCCATAGTTTTCTTACCTGCACCAACAAGTTTATGTTGACTGACAAATCACAATTATATTTCATCATCACAACCAGTGAATTGCACATTTGCCACTATCTTTGTTACCCACTGTACTCATTCATACAAACTCGTTTTGCTTTTTCCTCCCGTGATCATTAGATATAAATTGATGGCCCATAGCAATTGCCAATGGCCCATGATGTGAAATTTATGGGCCACACCTGCCACAAACGGTCCATAAATTTTGTAAACATAAGCCCAAAAAGTTCGCTTTTGAATCACTGCCGATGTTGATTGGTCAGTAGAAAATGTACCCTACTTATCCAAACAGCTGCAAACGTGCCTGGACCATCGACCATCCATCTTGGTATATTTTTCTGAACAATCCATATCTTATTTATGCCACTTCTGATGTGTCAATCAAGGTGTCATATGTTGTGAAACAGCGTCAGACATCCTGTTGATCACATTGCCTATGAGATTGACCTACAGCATGAAAGGGCTACATACATGTAATGAGCTTCCATTGTGTGGGCAGGAGTGCACAGATTGGAGAACACAATGCCCCAGCTAGCGTGGGGACAACAACATTGTGTATGTAGTTACCATGGTTACGTGGTTTGGAACACACTGAATGGTCAGAAAGTAGGATTAAATCATGTGTCACATCTACTTTTAAGATATTTTTATTCTGAAAAGTGTTTTTCTGATCATGATCTTTTGGCATTGGCGTCTTTGAATTTCATGTTGTACATATAATGAAATGGGTGATGTGTTTTGTGTTTGGAAAATTACTCAAATTCCCCCCCCCCCCCCCCCCCCCGAGACATCCATTGGAATAGACACAAGTTAATAAATCTTCTCCTGTCATGCATTTCACAAATGTTATGATTCACTTTGAATTTCAGTGAGTGAATGATTAAATAATGTTGTTTGCCAGAGGGCGGAAGGTCGTGGGTTCAAACTCAGGCCATGTCATATCAAAAGTTGTTGTTACCCTGCCTGGTGCTTGACATTAAGTCGCTAAAAGAAGGACTGGTCGGCTCGGAGTCAGTATACTGTGTCTGAGTGGGGTATTTATGTTGACTGCAGTATGGTATGTCAGTGGGCTAGCACTATAAAATTGACATCAGTCTGGACTAGTACAAGAAGCTAGATTTGCACACACATGCACACATACATACACACATACCATACACATTGGTATATGAGAGCAATGATCTTGAATGCGACGTTAACCTCACCTGTACTTGTGGTGGGGTAGTGTAGTCGTTGAATCGTTCGCTTGTCACGTCTAAGGCCCGGGTTTGATTCCCAAGATGGTACGATGTGTGAAGGACATTTCTGGTGTCACCAAATTGATATTGCTAGAATATTCCTACAAGCGGCGTAAAACCCCACTCACTCACTCACTCACTCACTCACTCACTCACTCACTCACTGTACCTGTGGTTTTCTGATTTGACAAAGGTTATTTATATAAGTACACTACTCAACATTTGCTAAGGACTAAAATAGTCATCTTCAGTCAAGGTTGTGGTCCTGAGCAAATGTTGAGTGGTATATGATTCTTTCAGTGGGGGTTACATGAATTCTATATGTAGGTCCTTTCCGATCCAGTGATCTTTGTTGCTGCTCAACTGGGTTAAGCCATGCCCTAGTTAGTCATTCATCAGATTATGTACTCCCTCATAATGGGCAGGTCAATACTGTTACTGGTTAAGGACAGTATAACTGAAGATCATAATATTGATCTACTGTGGTTACAACAAACATACTCTGGGCAGGGTCTGTCCTTTTATTATCAGTCCCTCCCTCTGTCCTCGTCTCATGTGGACAAACAAAAAAAGAAAATTTTCACCCTGGTGATAATGGTCACAATCTCAAATGAGTTTGAAAATTGGTGTCTTAAGTTAATGTTTTAAAGTGTTATGGCTCTTCCTCCATGCTTTTCAGGTAGCCTAGTGGTTAAAGCTTTCGCTCGTCATGCAAAAGACCCGGGTTCGAATCCCAACATGCTTACAATGTGTGAAGCCCATTTCTGGTGTCCCCCGCCGTGATATTGCTGAAATATTGCTAAAAGCGTTGTAAAACCTCACTCACTCACTCACTCACTCACTCACTCACTCACTCACTCCATGCTTTTCAACTTTGTGCATACTGTGTGAAATAGGGACACGTTTTCTCTGAAACTACTAAAGAAACAATGGAAGTTGATATTAATTACCTCCATTTTCAATCATTTGCATATTAAATATTGTTAACTGTGTGTAATTAACCTATTGATGTTATCTGAATAATGACAGGTCCCCTCCCATGTAATGATGCAATGGGTGATGCAATAGAAGGCTTGTGCAGCCCAGGGGAGCAGTCATTGTTAGGGTTTGTTGCATAATGTGATCACAAGCAGGACTTCCTTGTGTGGCACTCTCGGTAACATCGCTGCCACCAGTGTGGGCGCGGCCATTACAAGAAACCTGAAATTTGCCCTCTAACCCCAAATGTAGTAACGTTTATACTTTTGTTTTTGTCTTTGGAAATGCCATCATATTTCATTTTGAAAAGGTTTACGACTGACCATGTTTTCCAGATGAATTTACTTTGTTGTTTTAATAATCAGATTGGTTCGAGATTGCAGACTAACGGAAAATCAAGCAACTTCTCCCTTACATTCTTACTATATCAGTTAAAGATGATAGGTTTAATGAAATAGAAATTCAAATTGACAAACAAAGAAAGTAATTTATCTGCGGTAAGTGTATTTGGCATCATGACAGTCGTCACTTGTTTGTAAACATAATGGTCTGTTGGTTGCGAGTTCAACTCAAAGCATGGTTGGGGACACCTATCACAGTGGGAATTTTTGACTGGTGGCCGCGATAGTATAGAGAGCTCCGCGAACGGGCAATCGCTGTGAGGAGCTTGGTGCATGTCATAGTGAAGAAGAAAAAGATGACTGTTTTATTTAGGTGTCACATATTGCATACAGTGATAGAACAAAATACAACAGTGTATTACAATGTGCAGCCAGTGAGGCCCACAATATATTAGTGATCATCATATGCAATATTGATTAAAGGATAAAAATATATTCATTTTAAAAACGAAATACATTTATGAAAATTACGTAATACAAATATAGCCAAGGGGGATCCTATTCCTATGACATTAAATACATAATTGCAGCTACAGTGACTAGAGATTTTGCATATGGCCACTTGACCTCTTGAATGAAAATTGGTTCTGCTGGAACTTTATGTCTTGTAATTTTGTAATTTTGTGAAGAGCTGCAATTATGCCATAAGAGGCGACTAATGGGAAACAAACAAACAAACTATACACAGGATTTGCACTCTCCTGACCCACCATGTATCTTTTGGTTAGAACTACATGTTGTTGGTTGGTTGGTTGTTTTACGCCACACTCAGCAATATTCCAGCTATACTACGGCGGTCTGTAAATAATCGAGTCTGGACCAGACAATCCAGTGATTGATATCATGAGCATCGGTCCACGCAATTGGGATCGATGACATGCATCAACCAAGCAAGCGAGTCTGACCACCTGATCCAGTAAGTTGCCTCTTGCGACAAGCATAGTCGCCTTTTACGACAAGCATGGGTTGCTGAAGACCTATTCTACCCCGGATCTTCACGGGCCTAGAACCACATGTAACAATGTAACAATAATCTCATTTTTGGCTTGACTGCCTCTGTGGTCAAATGGACTGAGTCTTCCCTGAGAGGTGAAGGTCGGTGGTTCTATCCCTGGCCACGTCATAGATATTAACAATTGGTACTTTTGTTACTCTACATTAAGGGGCTAAAACAAAGACTGGCTTGGAGTCAATATACTGTGTCAGAGTGGGGTATTCATGTTGACTGCAGCATGGTATCTTATTGGGCTCGGACATGTAACTCTTGTACTCTGGTCGGGGGGGTCCTGAGTAGGACCCGGATACCCACAGGACTACCCGGACCATGGTTAGTCATGTGACATAGGCCTATTGTTTAATGATAAAAAAATATCTAGAACTCTAAGGTTACACTTCAAGTCACTAATGTTCCCATTTCTTTCTGACAATGCACCCATTCCTTCTGACTTCCATATGTTTGAATAAAGATTAAACTTCATGCAGTAAACTTCAGTGTATGCATGACCAGATCGTTTTACATGTGTATCTAAATGCATTTTGCCAGGTCTACAGTCAAACTTTTCCAAATCAGACAGTTTGTTCCTGTCTCAAAATATCTACAGTGGGTACCCAGGTAGGGTTGGGTAATAGGGTGGCGGGTACCCAGGTAGGGTCGGGTAATAGGGTGGTGGGTACCCAGGTAGGGTTGGGTAATAGGGTGGTGGGTACCCAGGTAGGGTTGGGTAAT